TATTATGGCAGAGATGTCAACTGGAGAAAGACCTTATGATGGATGTCCATTTAATACTGAACTCGCAATAAACATTTCGATAACAATATCCAACATTATGTGTTCCTTTAGCATGCCCCATTTCTGCAGATTTTTGATAATAAAAGAATGCCTTATGTTCATCCTTTTCAACTCCAACTCCTTCATCATAACAATATCCAACATTAAATGTTCCATCAGCGTCACCCATCTCAGCAGATTCTTGATAATAAATGAATGCCTTATGTTCATCCTTTTCGACTCCAATTCCTTCATCATAACAATGCCCAACCATATATGTTCCATCAGCGTTTCCCATCTCTGCAGATTTTTGATAATAAATGAATGCCTTATGGTCATCCTTTTCAACACCTATCCCATTTTGATAATTGTATCCAAGGTCATAAGGATCTAACTTAGCAGATTCTTTATGATGAAACTGATTATTATAAGTTTTCTTCATTTTACTTTTTAAGTATGTAAGAAGTACGTACTGTGCGAGAAAACAGAAATTCTATTTATTAAATCTCATGTCGATCACAGTAAAGTTTAGCATAAAAATAACCGAGGAAATACATATCTGTGCGCAATACAAATCCAAAAAGGAAATTTAGGGCGTTAGAATTGAAGACAATAGGAACAAAAATCACTTAATTCATGCAAAGTTTCATTTCCGATATTTTTAATTAGTAAGTTTTGACATTCGCTTTCTTGTATTAAAATATTTTAAATTATTATATGTGTTTGTATAGTGTTTGTATAGTGTTTGTATAGTATATGTGTTTGTATATGTGTTTGTATATGTGTTTGTGTATGTGTTTGTATAGGTATAATGTATAACATACAATCCAAAAAGACAAAGCATAAGCAATATTAAAAGATGATATTAAAGGTTCTTAATTAGAGTACAAAATATGATTTTATAGAAGATTTTAAGGCACTATTAACTTTTAATGTTATTGCAATACCTCACATTATATATGATTATTTATTTAGAATGAGGAGTAAATTTATACAATAACATCTTAGCATTCAAATTAAAACGTTATGGCGCTTTGCAATAAAGTGTGACATCGCTGATCATGATATCATGTGAAATCACGTGAAATCAGCCGATTCTAGTAGATTTTTTAATTCTTTAAGAATCTTACAGATTCTAGTATATTACCGTAACTGTTACATTATCGTTCTATTTTAATTTCAAAAAAACCTTCGTTAAAAAAAATCCTTGTTAGCATGCCTTCTGCTTATAGTAATGATTTGAAATGGCGTATAATATATTTACATTATGATAATTATTCAGTAACACAAGTTGCAAACCTTCTTTATGTATTTGGATCTTTTTTGCTTTTGAGGATAATCTTAACAAATTACTATTGCAGCGAGCGCACAAAGTAAAACTAAAATACTCTTTTGAACTTAATGAATAATTATAATATTCTATTTTTTGCTGGTCAAAGTCTACTTTTTCTTTAATCCAATTCGGATTGAATATTCTTGTAAATGTATATTTTACAGTATCTGTTCGGTTACCTCTATATGGCACATTAGACAAGTCACAATTACATTTTTTTTGTTGTAGATCAATTCCAAAAACATGCATTTCTGGCAGCTAAAACAAGCTACTTTAATTTGGTTTCTTGAATATTGGCCATTTTAGTTATTTATCAAGAGAAATGTATAAAAAAAATAAAAATATAATAGCTTTATACTGATTTAATCATAAATATGTAATAATTATATTTATATCGATCACTAATCAAAACATAATTAAAAAATAATTGTATATAAAAAATGTATACAATTCTATATAATTTCATATAGATTCTCAAAATCTGATTCATTATTATAATCTCGGAGATTTCTCTTTATTATCATCATGCAATCATGATATCACACTTAATTGCAAAGCATTATAAGGCTGATAAACTTCCTAAATTTTTCTGCAATCACATGAATAGAATCTAATTCTGATGTATGGTTTTTTTAATGATTAAATTTTAATTAAAAAATACCGATATGCGTTTTTTATGAAAAATAAAAAATACTTTTTATGTTTTTTGGCTTTTAAAAATGCATAAATATAAGTTAGTTTCTTAATGTTAATTCAAATAATACTTATTTTTTATAATCATATGTAACAATCTTCGATTCATTACAAATTATTTACCAAACCTAATAAAAACCAAGTAATATTCGTTATTTAAGAAAATCTAGTGCAATATTTCTCTTGAATATTTCACTTGAAGATTTGAAGAAACTATATAAATAAAAAATATAATATGTGAAAATGATGGTTACATGCAAAAAATAAAGTACTTATTTGTAAAGTTTTTGAAGTTTTAAGAAATGATGTATCAGTAATTCCTATCGATTATTTATTAATTTCTCATAAATATCAGGTTCAGTAATAGTTGCATCAAGGGCTTCAAAATTAACATGCGAAAATCTAATTTTGACAGAAATAAGTAATGTATTTATTTTCAAATGTGAACGATGTATCGACATTAGGGGGTTTCAAAGTTAACAAATAAGTACATATTTTGTAATTAAATGGGAGTTTAAAAAATCTTATTTGAATCTTAAAATTTTGAAATCAGAAAATGAAATGAGCATCTCTGGAGATCCCCATTTCATGAAATAAAAAAAAATTTAAAATCAGAAACTTTAATTGTCATTACGTATTATTATTATCATATCTACATCAATATTGTACTGTATATTACTTCTTAAAAAAAATAAAATAAAATAAAACTTTCGTTAAATTCTTTAAAATATTTTATTTGTTCATAAAATATTCTGTTATTTTAAACTATCGATATCTCAAATAATAAATTAAAATGCCTCCAAAGAGAACTTTTAAACAAACTACCAAGGAACAAAAACTTGCAATAGTCATGTTTGAAGAAAATCCAAAAAATCGAAATATTATTGATGGAAAAGCAGCAACTGGTGCTCCTGTTGGTAGCAAGCTTGTAACTAAAAATGCCAGATTTGTACAAATAGCTTTATTTGTGAACAAACATTGTAAAGATAGCTAATGGAATGCTAAAATAGCAACTGGTCGTTTGGGTACTTATAAAAAGTTATATATACAGTACTGGACAGTAAAACGCATCCAACCTCCACTTCAAGTGGGCCATTTTCAGAAGAGAATGATGTAAGTGGATGGGTGGTTAAGTCCATTTACGTGGAGGACCATTTATTTGACGGTCAGACCCAACGTACAGGGCAGACTATGGTATCCTGCGCAGCTGTGAGAACCGAGC